AAACCAATTGGTGAAGCAGTAAAAATACCCAGAGCATTGCACCATCAAAAGAAATGTTTTTCCCAATAAGCAGATGAAGTGTGAATTGTTAACGAACATTGGTACTACCCAGGTAATATCTTATAAGGTGTCAGTAAGACAGTACACCTTCTGACATTATTGACAGAGAGTACCTGTTGGATAGAATGGGGTGATCTACTGGCTATTTTCTCAGGAGGCATCTGGAGAACAGAGAAGTTGAGTGATTTTTTGAAAATCACACAGCAAGTTAGTTAAGGAGCTGATTGTGAACTTAGACTATTTAATCCATCATCTTTTTCTCTTAGGCTTATGGATCTCAAGAGGGGCTGGGATTGGTGGAGAGCAGAGAGGGTAACTGGCTGTCAGGGAACTTACCAACTATTATTGCCATTCCCGGGGTGACCAGAGCGTGGTGGTCTCTCAGGGATATGATGTTACGTGTTTTGAAAAAACTGCCAGGGTTCTCCTGTATTCCTCTTGGTGCGAGTTGATTTCCTCGGCTTTATAAGATCCCCAAGCATTTTCACCAGCATTATCCATTCTTTCCGTACTAAATGGTAGCTGCTGAATGGGAAATCGTTTTCTAAAAAAAAACCTTCCTTTTGTTTAGCACTTACCACTTTAAATACTTTGGAATCCTAGCTGAGGATTCCAAAGAGTCTGGCGCTGCTTTTAAGAGCAAACCCATGTGGGTTTGTGGAGCAGGCCTGGCAGAGGTGCAGCCTTGTGTGAAATGTCAGTGTTAGCTCAGGGACACCTTTTCTGGTCTCTCTTCCGACAGTTCTCTGCCTCTCCGCCCACAGTCCTGGCTGGAGTGAGAGGCACTGGAGTGGGAGGCCGGAGGCTGAGCTGGCGCTGACCTGGGTGGGGCTAAAAGCTGTTCCCCTCTGATGGGTGTAAGCTGTGGGGTGGGTGCTGTGGGTCATGGAGTCTCCTCAGCACTTGCATGCGGTCTGTCCTTCCTTCACTGTAACTGATATTCTTGGGTGGGGAGGATCTGATGGGGCCATCCTGTCCTGGAGGACCTTTATTTGCCGCTCTTCTCTGTGAACTTTGGAATCTGCCAGCCAGCACCTGGTGCAGGGGGCTGAGCCGGAAAGTGGGGTGTGAGGAGGGGATGCACAGTGCCTGGGTTGATGCATGCATGGGGGGGGTGGTTCTTGTGGACAAGTGTGTGCACGTGGGCAGAGTGGTGGGAGTGTGTTTTGTAGGGGAGGGGGCGGGGAACTTTTCTCTGGAGCAGAGACCTTCAGGAAGCAATCCTTTGTCAGTTGAA